AAAGAGCGACGGTAAATTTAGGGGTGAAGGAGAGGCGGAGCCTGTATGTTGCGTTCGTGTTTCACGAAGCAAGCGGACACGAGACGACGATCGACGCCCCGCCGTCATCGGCCGATGTGTGGAAAGTGCGCGAGTCGACGAAAACTCGAATACGCGACGGCACCGGCAACGATCGTACCGTACTGAACGTTGCCGTTGAACGGCGCGAAAGAACGCGCGTCAAGTTTCAATTCGGGACACGGGTACCGCGCCCCGATCATCCTCCCGTCGTGGCTTATCGCGAGTAGTCGAAATCGAAAGCATCGAGGTCCCGAATAGAGTTGGGCATTCGGATTGGTGATCCGCCGCGAGGATCGCAGAAACGCGCGAGCGGTAAACAGAGGCAGGTGGGGGAGGGAGCGCGATAACGGGGCGAGTGGTGGTCGCGTGAGGATGCATTCCAGATGGACGATGACGCCGCGACGTCTGTAACGGTCTCGCCGTCGCCAGGTATATATTATTATAATTATTGCCCTATCGTATCGTCTCATCGTTCGTCTACGCGAATTTGTCACCGCGCGAATCATCGACGGCGCATCGACGAGCGTCGCGCGGGTTATGACGCGCCGCGCCGCTTAGGGACGCTTGTCAAGCGCGTACCGGGAGAGAGATTCGCGAGTGCGTGTGTGCGTGCGTGCGTGCGTGCGCGACAACGGCGACGACGATGAAGACCGATCCGTCGGCCGAATCCTGGTCGTCGGTCCCGGGCAAGGGATCGTCGTCCTGCCTGGAGGCGTCGATGCCGCGAAAGTTTCGCGACGAGGCTCGACGCGCGGGGGCCGCGGGCCTTAATTGGGCCATGTGTGCCCTCTGCCTGGCCAGCCTCACTATGTCCGGCGTGCTCCTCTACCGCGAGCTCGGTCTCGAGTCCAGGATCGCCAGTCTGGAAGCGCACTGCCTGCGCGTCGAGGAGTCATCGTCGCCGGTCGACGTCTTGGTGCAGAGGCTCAAGTCGGAGGTGCAGGAGCAGCTGCAACAGACGCAACGATCCGCCCCAACTCATGAGATCTTCAGGCCCAAGCGCCAAGTCTCCGATCCGCAATGCAACTGTCCTGCAGGTAAGTCATATCCTTGTCTTCAACATCGTTTGCCTATGACGCGCGTCTTGTCCTTCTTAACACTTTACTGGTAATGTGGTTCCGAGATATATCATTGTATTGACAATTGCGTATACGAATTTCATTAAATATTCTGATTATTTTTTTGTGAAAATAATTATGGATGCTTATAGAGGAAGACAAAATTTCAGTCGTCGTGTGTCGTAAATTATTATAATATTACATAATATAAAAAATCACTAGGAATTATGAAGATATTAATATAAATGTAATTTTAATATTTTTAATCGATAGATTATTTTTTAACGTAAATAATTACAAATATAATGATCGAATTTGGATTGTTATAATACCGTGGATCGCATAAATACATGTTACTAAAAAATAACATATAATTTTTAATTATACGTTACTTAATTATAATATATTGAAGCATATATTGTGAAATAATTAATTTAAACATATGTATGTACAAAAAATATATAATTTTTAACCAGTAGCTCTCTTTTCAGTAGAATAATAATAAATATTTATAATCCGAATTTTGATATTATACTGTGAATAATATCATAATATCTCCATTCGGATACACGTGAAAACATATGCGAATTGACATTCCAGTAAAGTGCTAATTTCTAAGGACGGTCGTATTTTAAAGGTAATTTACAGCGATTCCAAAATTGAGGAAGCATCTGGACTTTGTCGTTTTAGCAAACGTAAATGTCCTGAAACGAATTCTTCTTTGTAACGCAAAAACCATGTGTCTTACGAATTGTCCTGTAAAGGAAGTAAGCGGTAAAAAATTTTGTGAAACCGTAAGTTTGATTTTCTTACGAAAAATCTAAAGCGGAACCATCGAGAGTTCTCATTTCTCTTTTCCAGTAAAAAGGCCTTTACTTATAATAACCTTGTAAAGAGATTGTAAAAAGATAAATCGAAGAAAGCGTAGACGACTCGTAAATGTCATGCTTTTTCTACTATCAATTGATAGTCCTATTTAAATGTGACAAGACTGATTATATAATAATAAGTGCAACCAAATTTTTTTTTTTTTTTTTTTTTTTTTTTTTTTTTTTATATTTTTTATATATTAGTTAAACAAAAAATATTTACTAATAACTATAGCATGTACCTGAAACATATATGCTTTATATTTTATATTAATCCGAAAGAGTTTGCTGCATTTACATTTACATTTATCTCTCTTTAAAAAAAATGTATTTATATTTATGCTTACATAAGAAAAAAAATATTAAAGAATAATAATCCAATTATAAATTTATTTTATTTTAGCAATTGCAGAAAACAGGAAAGAAAATGACTATGAAATATTTTCTCTAATTAAGGTTTCATTAACATAAAATGTTACATATTTATCTCTACAAGATCAATTGTGAACTCTGTCGGATTAATATATAAGTATATATAAAAGTACAATAATTGTTTACAATATATGCTATACACTTTTATGATATGTTCACGATAACCAAAATTAAGAAATCAAATTGTTGGTATCAAATAATGATCTAAGACATCATCAATACATATTTATGATTTATATATTTGGAAATATTGTATCTAATTAATATACCTTGGTATTCAAATTTATTGCATTAATCAGTTTTTAGGAAAGATTTGTTTGCCTAATATGGCAGAAATTCCAAATTCCATTTTCGAAAGTTATATCTGAAAAATAGCTATTTATTTATGTAATTGAATACTTGAAAAAAATATATATAATATAAAATATATCAATATATTATATATTTAATATTACATACAAGAAATAATAAAATTATTGATCAGATAATATATTGCAGATGTATATCTTTTATTGTAAGTTACATAAAATAAAATATAATTAATTTTATTTTCATTGTATAGAATTTGCAATATATTAGACACAATAACATTGAAAGCCCATTAAGAGGAAGTTTATAACAGCATAATCTGTTAAATATAATAAGTCGCATTTTTCAAGTAAAGTAATTCAAGGAATTTTCCATGAGAATTATAACTATTTATATTTAAAAAATGAGATTACACAGATGTAAAATAATGTAAAAGCTATGCAATATGTTAATGTGCATGTATAAATCTATGTATAGTTATATATAAGTTAAAATCCGATATATATATATATATATA